CGCGGATCAGGAGATATTTCAAAAAAAACTAAATAAAATAATTATCAAAAATATAACTAATCAAGAAAACAAGCTAATTAGTGTTTGACTAATGAGCCCGTGCACCCCCGTTGGTTGGGGAAGGCCGCGGCCTTGGGGGTGCTGCTCCCCTCCCCGGCAACGGCGCCAAAGTTGTAAGGAAACCCGGGGAGGGGTCACCTACGTTTCGCCGAAGCCAAGGGCAACAACGCCTGTCACTCGCCCCGCCCGCTTCCGAGGTCCTCGGCGACCCGTAGGGAATGAGGTAAGAGTGWATAGTTACTTTCCCTGCCTTTATCTTGTTAATTTCGGTAATCTCACAAGTCCACACCGTGCTGAGTTCAGACTGTCAAATGTCCGTTCAGGGAATTTGCCGAGTCAGCAAGTTTGATTGGTCTACTGATCAGATCAGCAAGCTCGTCCCACAACAAGTTTGAATAGTTTACTAACAGTTCTGTCAGTTCACACACTAGGTGGCCCGAATTGCCGAGAAACAGATCTACAAGTTTGCCCAGCAACAGATAAAAATAGTCAATTAACAGTCTGGCATATCCGCCCAACAACAAGTCAGAATTGTCTACTTCAGATCTGTAAGTTCATTCACTAGGAGGTCCGAATAATCAAGCAACAGTTCGGCGGGCTCGCTCACCAGAGGAATTTTGCAGTTACCAAGAGAAGGAGTAATAATACTAATTTTAATGTCAAGGATCAGACCCGTCACTCTTCTCTCCTTCCCCTCTCTCTCACACACTTACACACACACATACACAAAGAAGCAGAGACATAGTCACACTCACTCGAACAGTCTCCCCTTGCACAGAGAAACAAGCCTGGTGTAAAAGCACGTCCAGTGAGCAGTGAGCACGCGTCCTGTCAATAGCCATGAGGTCTCTGGATCGTCAATCGATAGTGGGCAACCGAATGTATTTGACGCGCTCTCTGGGGTGGTACCCTCTGGCGCGCATGTGATCGGTCATCATACGGGTGAAACGAGATCGAACTTGCAGGTAGTACATAGAAAGATACGCAGCAGTTTTCTTTGTCTGTTRGAACTTTTGTCTGTTGGGTCACTCACTGCGTGCACATTCAAAGGTAGATAGCTGTGGTAAATCTGGTCTTTGCGAATGAATGCCCGTTTGTTACCTTCTCTATACAAAGGCTCCCGCCATGTATCTGATCAGATAATTGTTCCCATTCGATGATCAGATCCGCATGATCAGGTCAATTACCTCTTTTGGTTCGCTGTGGCCTCGCTCTCTCTCACGCACGCTATCCCTCGTCTGCACTGTCCCTCTTCCTTCAAATAGAACGCATGATGTTGTCTGGGGGGGTACAGTCAACAGCGGGGGTTCCAACTCGACAGGGGTTCG